GAAAAATATCAATTTAAAAATGAGCTTCAACGTCACATTTTGGCAAATATCTCAACAAAGACGCTACAGATCTATATGAGATAGCAAAATAGATCGATAGCTGAATTTCTGAAGAATCGAATGATGTCAAAAAATCAGCAGATTTCCAAAAATGAACCAACTAAACAATGCCCTTTGTGAAGGTAGGTCACAACTTTTAATAAGTTGCCAGCCGACCTGACTACTGTACCTCTGATCCTGCCACGAAAAAATTTTCGCACCAAATTGGAAATGACGGCGCCTATACATGTTACAACAAAATCGCGCACGTTTCTTATGGGATTTTCATCCCCAAATTACCGCGGGAGATACTGCACGAGAAAGACTTCAAATACTGGCTATATTCCAAAACGTCTTAATTCCCTTCGTTGTCATTTATATAACTATAGGTGATACCTATTTTGAACCTTTAAGTGAGTATAGCTTTAAAATATCTGGGTAAAGAGCCGCACTTTGTGGTGGAGTTCATTCGTATAACTCGGTAAGAAAATTTCTTCACTTTATAAGAAACTGGATTTTTTTAATAAGATCATTGCCGTTTTATCCCGTTATTTGATCGCCCAGCTTAAGTTATTTCAAAATATTTACGAGCTTTTCATGATGTGGATTACAGTCACAGAAAAAACTAGTAGCCGTGGATAATTATCAAGGTTATCACAGTACTTACACAGATATGTGTGATAGATGCAAGTCCTTCAACATTGTCTCTGCAGATATCTTAGTAGGAGAGAACAAGAAATTCAGATATTGAAAAAATGAACAGTTAAAATATCGGTATCATAAAGAACACGTATTTTTTGCAGAAGTTCAGCTTATTTTCCAGAAGTGGCTGTCGCTTGTAAAAACCTTGTGTGGCATGCTGGCGACCTGCCAAATTAACCGGAATTTTGTTGGAGCATCCTTGGTCCTGCGAGATTCTCATACAAAGTTAGTAGCGGGAAAGATTCTGAATATAATGACTAACTTCACTGTTGTTTATGAATTATTTACCTTGTGTTGCAACAGTGCTTCAGCGAAATTTAAATCACACTACGCTTTCTGCTGGGTTTTCCACTCCTTTGCATCAAGATTTTGTCGTAAAAAACCGCTTGCGTTCGTGTCATTCGACGATAGGTTGTGTGACCTTTTTTCTTAAGAAAGTCCGACTAAAGCAAATGAAAAAACTTGCCGATGCTCTGCCTGTCTATAGCTTCGCCTTTTCAGTGATGCTGTTAATGATTTATTAGAGCATCATTCGGACGTTTTAGACTGACGAGAGATTTTATTCTTTTTTAAAATGGAATGAGTTGACTAAGACTGTGAACCGGACATTTATTAAATCTTCTCCCCATACTATAAAAAATTTCTGAACTTCCAGTGTGGACACCAAAATTTCCGCACGAAATGTACGCAGCAGAGACTAAACTAGTTGTTCCGCAAATTGCAGCGTTAGTGCTTGTCGACGATAATCAGTATGAGTAGCTACGCCAGCTCTAAACATCCTCCAGTTGCAACTAGGTAGTGGCAAGCGGCATTTGGGTCTTGCTTCGGATGACCCGTTGTTTTTCCTGGTGGAAAATAGCGTGTTTGTTTTGGAAATTTTGCCAGAAGAAGAAAAACAGCAGTTACTTGGGCTCATGCCCAGCCATAACTACCTGAATTGGATAAGTTACGTATATCCGCAGCTGCTTTTCAACTTAG